GATTGTAATTGCTGACCATGAGATTACGTTCTGCGAAATCTTCAACCAAAGTTTCCAAGAGTTTCCCAGGTGTTATTAATTTTTACGTTTCTCTTTTTCTTCCCATTTCTTTCATGCGACCCCACTTCGCTAAGTACGGCCCCTTACCCTTACCAAAATCAAAAAATGCGATCCTTTTCGTCTGCCGGCCAGACGTAGTCGCTTGTAGGAAACCTTCCTTTAAAAACGATTTCAAAGCTGCAGTAAATGTGTGCTGTTCGAAAAAGCAGGCTGCTCAAAGCAATGCTTTGATTATTTTCAGGGTTATGATGGCTACAAAATTGAAGACGACTACTTCTGAAGAGCATATGAAATGCGTGTTTGTATGATACCTGTTACGTGTAATTTTGAACAGGTTCTGTAACCAGAATAAAGTGCCTTTTTCTGCTTACTACTTTTCGGATTATATGCTCATACCACGCGGCCGCCTGCCGCTACCTCTTCGTCGCCCCGTTTACAAAATGATGTGAACCAGTGCAGCTATTCACAATCAGCCTCATGTTGGACGTGGTAGGGCGGCCATCTAATACGCGATGTATTAAGTTTCAAATTGTGACAGTAATGCTTAAACTTCAAATTATGACAGTAATGATTATGATCGATAGATTAGGATGACATACTAGAAGAGCGAAATGTAACTGGCATACGTGAGGAGGCCAAATTCTTTCTCCTTTGGCAGTATTCCAAAAACAAAGTGGGAGCTTTCCGGCGGCCAACATTAGTGACAGATGTACGACGGGCGAGTGGCCTAATTTTTCGTATAATTTAACAGAACAAGGCCTTTTTAACCTTTTCGTTCAATGTTAACTTGAAGAATGGCTCCAAAGCTAACAGGGAGATAATAGAACCATGATGTTTTTCTTAATATTGTGCTGTCCCGGAGCCTCATCAGCACCTAAATATTGTATAACACAGAGAGGCACCAAAATTTTATTTCAAAAGAATTCCAAAAGTTCAGAAAGTTCAAAAATTCCAAAAACTCAAAAGTTTCAAAAGAGCAAAAGAATTCAAAAGTCCAAACCAAACAAATCAAGTTTACACTCATTATAGCAGGTATAAGTAACTAGGTGATTTTCAATGTTTCTGTTTTTTGTTTTTTTTCAATGTCAAATTTTCAACGTTCAATTTCAGTTGTGCTCGTCGTCTCTTGGCTGGGAATCAGTGTTCTACCTCCACTCCGTGATCTGTTTCATTGCTTTCGTTGGATGGTTCTTCTTATACACCAACAGCCCCGGTTGGATACATTATTCAATCATTTTATCCTTTGCTTTGCCCCACCGAAATCGACCAGATTAATGCAAAGTCCTTCCAGAGCATCATCCGTTGGTCTCGAAACATGAGCTTGCCGATATCAACGATGGAAAGTCGGCTTTGTCACTACGAGTGAGTCCTTTGCGTTTGAGTCAAGTTCTAGTATAGATAAAAGCTTTGCAAAGACTAGGGATAATGCTCAATGCATTCATGGTTTTAGAAACACGCCATGCCTTCTGCTAGCAATAAAGAATCGAAGCAGATATTTCAAGTCAATGACTAATACCTGAATCATGTGAAAATGAAAAACGTTAAAGTCCTGGTTTAATGGAGAGCAAAGTTTCGATGATCCGGACAAATTTCTTCGTGCAGGACGCATACTACAGTGGTGGTTCCTTACTGCGCTCTACCCCCACCTCGTTCTAATGGAGGATTAAGAGTCAAGGTCCGGGAAGGGAAAATTGCCTAGTTGGGAGACAGGCGGACTCCTGAGGGTGCGGACCGACGCGCAATTGGCAGCGAAAGATTTGACCTCGGCGATCTAGCATGGCTCACTCTTGGCGCAGTTGGCGCGGTACGCCCACCGACATAGCAGAGAGCGTTAGCGTTGAAGAGGGCGATGAGAGTCGCAATGCGGAAATCAACGGGCAAGGAAGGGGTCCCATTTCTCGGGTTCTGGGCCGTTTCTCATGGTTTTTCCTTCTTTCGTGTACCACTCACCATCCCTAGGTTAATTTGAAATGGGTTGCTTTTTCAGCGTGAATTCGTCCTTTAAGTTTAAGAGGACTGACGTTCGCCTACTAGAAGCGGCCTACCCGCACCCGCCAAACAATACTTTCCATGTTAAGAGGGGAAGAAAGAGTTCCGCCGTTACAGAATCAGTGGCAAACGCGGTGTCAGGTAGCATCGAGATCGTCAAAAAGGGCTCGGCCGATTTCAAGGCTATCGCCATGTCTG